ATCAGTTTTGAATAAACAATTCAAGATATATTTATCAAACTTCATATGCTGATACATACTGCTGAGAGCTATTAATACATCAACTTAATTTGACCTTGAATTTTCCTTTGACCTTGACCTCACTTTTTAAATTACGTGTTTATCTAAGTTTTAAATAAACCATTAATTATAGCTTTATCAAACTTCATATGCTAATAGTAAATTCATACTGATGTAAGCTTTTCAACTGCAACAACATTTTGGCCCCACCCTTTCCTTTGACCTCTCTTTTTTTTAGAAAAGGTGTTAAGCTCAGTTTCATTAAATCATTCAAGATATTTTTATCAAACATAATATGCTGATATGTATTAGTGAAGCTACTCAACTGCATCAAAAACTTCATCTTGCACATTCCTGTGACCTGTTTAAACATGTTTAAAGAAATGATTTAAGACATTTATAAAACATCATTTTTTGACCCCCATTAGTCCCCCCGGGGCAAATTTAACATTCCGGAATCTTACTGCACATCTACATGACACGGCCAACCATCTCCCAAAGGATGATTAGCCTACTGTGTAAAATGTAAGAGGAGTTCAGGGAAGAGGGGGCTTTTTGCATAAAAAACGTCTTTTTTCGACCCCCATTTGACCCCCCGGGGCAAACTCAAAATTCCAAAACCTTACTGCACATCTACATGACACCACCAACCATTTCCCAAAAGATGATTAGCCTACTGTGTAAAATGTAAGAGGAGTTCAGGGTATACGGGGCTTTTTGCATAAAAAACGTCATTTTTCGACCCCCATTTGACCCCCGGGGCAAAATCAAAATTCCAAAACCTTACTGCACATCTACATGACACCACCAACCATTTCCCAAAAGATGATTAGCCTACTGTGTAAAATGTAAGAGGAGTTCAGGGAAGAAGGGGCTTTTTGCATAAAAAATGTAATTTTTTGACCCCCATTTGACCCCCCGTGACAGAATCAAAATTCCGAAACCTTACTGCACATCTACATGGCACCCCCAACCATCTCCCAAAAGATGATTAGCCTACTGTGTAAAATGTAAGAGGAGTTCAGGGAAGACGGGGCTTTTTGCATAAAAGATGTCATTTTTTGACCCCCATTTGACCCCCCGGGGCAAACTCAAAATTCCAGAACCTTACTGCACATCTACATGACACCACCAACCATCTCCCAAAAGATGATTAGCCTACTGTGTAAAATGTAAGAGGAGTTCAGGGAAGAGGGGGCTTTTTGCTTAAAAAATGTCATTTTTCGACCCCCATTTGACCCCCCGGGGCAAAATCAAAATTCCAAAACCTTACTGCACATCTACATGTCACCACCAACCATCTCCCAAAAGATGATTAGCCTACTGTGTAAAATGTAAGAGGAGTTCAGGGAAGAAGGGGCTTTTTGTATAAAAAACGTCATTTTTCGACCCCCATTTGATCCCCGGGGGCAAAATCAAAATACCGAAACCTAACTTCACATCTACATGACACCACCAACCATCTTTCAAAAGATGATTAGGCTGCTGAGTAAAATGTAGAAGGAGTTCAGGGAAGAAGGGGCTTTTAGCATAAAAAACGTCATTTTCGACACCTATTTGATCCCCTGGGGCAAAATCAAAATTCCGAAACCTTACTGCACATTCTTATGACACCACCAACCATCTCCCAAAAGATGATTAGGCTGTTGAGTAAAATGTAGAAGGAGTTCAGGGAAGACGGAGCTTTTTGCATAAAAAACATCATTTTTCGACCCCCATTTGATCCCCTGGGGCAAAATCAAAATTCCGAAACCTTACTGCACATCTACATGGCACCCCCAACCATCTCCCAAAAGATGATTAAGCTACTGTGAAAAATGTAGGAGGAGTTCAGGGAAGAAAAGTGTGACAGACGGACGGACGGACGGACGGACGGACATGAGTAACAACAATATACCCGAACTTTCTTTAGAAAGTGCGGGTATAATTAGTACTTCAAGCAAACTATTCTTAATAGAAATAAATGTATCCTCCTAACATTTCATGAAATAAAAAAAATTTTGTTTATTTGTTTGTTTGTTGTTTAACGTCCCATGGAGAAGCCACTACTTACCGGGGGAGAGCTGCAGATTTTCCTCTGAGTATACTCGGCACTCGTACACCTACTCGGCCTAAGGAAGAAGCCTACTGATTTTTAGGTCAAAGTTAAAGGTCATAAATTTTATCACTATACTTTCTGCGCTACTTCAGATTTAAACATCTCCTATGGCAACGGAAGACCCATATTGATTTTGGGGTCAAAAGGTCGAAGTTCAAGGTCGTAATGTCATACTTTATGTGTGTGTAAAACTTTCATGTCCGAGCGATATCTCAAGAAGCTTTTAAGCTTTAGCAATGAAATTTTATAACATTACTCCCTATGGCCCCGTCTGCTCTTTTAAATTTCAGCCAATCAGACAAACAAGAGTTTTTCAAGCATGCAGTAAATTCATTTATTACATTTCAGAATGTGCAAAGAAAGTACAACAGAATATAAGGCAAATCTAAATGCATGTAACATTTTTAGCTCACCTGAGCCGAAGGCTCAAGTGAGCTTTTCTGATCACATTTTGTCCGGCGTCCGTCTGTCTGTCTGTAAACTTTTCACATTTTCGACTTCTTCTCAAGAACCGCTGGGCCAATTTCAACCAAACTTGCCACAAAGTATCCTTGGGTAAAGGGGATTCAAGTTTCTTCAAATGAAGGGCCACGCCCTTATTCAAGGGGAGATAATTGGGAATAAATGAAAATTTAGTGGTATATTTTAAAAATCTTCTTCTCAAGAACCACTGTGCCAGGAAAGATGAAACTTATGGGGAAACATCCTCAGGTAGTGTAGATTCAAGTTTGTTCAAATCATGACCCCAGGGGGTAGGGCGGGGCCAAAATGGCCGACCAAAGTTTTACATAGAAATATATAGCAAAATTCTTTAAAAATCTTCTTCTCAAGAATGACAAAGCCATAATTCATCATATTTATATGGAAGCATGCTCAGGTAGTGTAGATTCAAGTTTGTTCAAATCATGACCCCCGGGGGTAGGGCGGGGCCAAAATGGCCGACCAAAGTTTTACATAGAAATATATAGGAAAATTCTTTAAAAATCTTCTTCTCAAGAATGACAAAGCCATAATTCATCATATATATATGGAAGCATGCTCAGGTAGTGTAGATTCAAGTTTGTTCAAATTATGACCTCCGGGGGTAGGGCGGGGCCAAAATGGCCGACCAAAGTTTTACATAGAAATATATAGCAAAATTCTTAAAAATCTTTTTCTCAAGAATGACAAAGCCATTATTCATCATATTTATATGGAAGCATGCTCAGGTAGTGTAGATTCAAGTTTGTTTAAATCATGACCCCCGGGGGTAGGGCAGGGCCAAAATGGCCGACCAAGGTTTTACCTAGAAATATATAGGAAAATTCTTTTAAAATCTTCTTCTCAAGAATGACAAAGCCATAATTCATCATATTTATATGGAAGCATGCTCAGGTAGTGTAGATTCAAGTTTGTTCAAATCATGACCCCGGGGGTAGGGCGGGGCCAAAATGGCCGACCAATGTTTTACATAGAAATATATAGGAAAATTCCTTAAAAATCTTCTTCTCAAGAATGACATAGCCATAATTCATCATATTTATATGGAAGCATGCTCAGGTAGTTTAGATTCAAGTTTGTTCAAATCATGACCCCCGGGGGTAGGGCGGGGCCAAAATGACCGACCAAGCTTTTACATAGAGATATATATAGGAAAATTCTTTAAAAATCTTCTTCTCAAGAATGACAAAGCCATTATTCATCATATTTATATGGAAGCAAGTTCAGGTAGTGTAGATTCAATTTTGTTCAAATCATGACCCCCGGGGGTAGGGGGGGCCCAAAATGGCCGACCAAAGTTTTACATAGAAATATATAGGAAAATTCTTTAAAAATCTTCTTCTCAATCATTTTCTAAAAAATAGCAAATCCATGATTGGTCATGGGACTACTTTTGGATTTAAACTTTACAATAAAAAGCCATTTTATACTAGTCCTACCCTTGGTGCTCAGGTGAGCGATGTGGCCCATGGGCCTCTTGTATTTTAATAGACTAGTTATTAGCTTTGTAATACATGTAATAAAACAGACAGAAAAGAAAATATGAAATCAGAAGAGGATATGTAAATGATAATCTCTATCAGGTGAACTCCTTCAAATATCATCTGACATTTAATTAATTAAGGGAATCCATTGACAAACTCTCTGTATTCTCATTTCTGTAGCTGTTTGTATGTGGTTGAATGGTTCTTGTCTGAGAGATTGTTGGTATGAGTATAGAGCAGCCTGGAGGTTCCCTGTCACCTGTTGACAGATCCCAAGAATCTGCCACGATATGTCTCTGTATTTTAATTCTATAAGCCGTATATACGAGCTGTGTCTTTGACGTAAAGGTATATACTGTCCCTGATCATAGTGAACTAGGGTCTGTAGATCATCTAGAGCTGTTTGTGCTCGCATTGTGTCTACATGTCTGTAGCATAAAATCTCAAGCATGTATAACAGGATAAAGGGTGGTACAAATAATAAAGACCAGTGGTTCTGTAGAGCAGACTGTTGTTCTGGTATCAGTTCACTGATGTAATGGAATCTACTGTCAAGTGTGATATCCCATGCTACAGCCTGTCTCATCTTTGTAGACCAGGACTGTCCCCCTACAGCCTCAGTATACATCTCTCTATCTACACTACCCGTATACATCACATATGGCTGTAATAGCTTGACCTTGATCATCTGTATAATAGATAAAGCTTCCGTGTATCTAAGTGTCTTGTAATAATACATGGCTAAGAACATCATGTCAGTAATAAAACCAAACTGGGCTGTTAATTTCAGCATGTGACAGGAGATTTTGTCAGCTCTATAACTCAGTTTGTTGTCAGGTGTGTAAGTTTCCATGTGTAATATAAAAGCAGTGTACTGAAGGATCCTAGCAGTCATGTTCTGTAGCATAATGACTTGATACTGTGTCAGGAGGGGTGAACTTTTCATCTGTTCTATTGTTTGTAAATACCTAATGCAGCTTTGTATGTTAAATTTGCCTGGTATTACGCAAGGATATGTTATTTCAACAAATAGATTTCTATCAACCCCATCCTCAGAAATCAGAGTATGATCATCTGTACAGATGGAGTTTCTGGGGTTATAGAGGACATCTATAATACAAGATCTAATGGAGGGACTATGTAGCAGGAATGCTAAACCCTTTTCATACAACTCTGACAGTCTTCTATATAATTGATGTTGTTTGATGCCATGAATTTTACTCAGAAACATGTTGTTGCCTGGAATGAAAAAGTTAGGACAGACCCCCTCATACACCCATTTGAGGATGAGTTTAAAACAGACCCAGAAACCCTCCAGGAGATTTTGTGGACACCAATGAGGTATTGTATTTTGTTGAATCACCCAGAAAACTGCCGTCTTCATGTGATAGGAACACAGTAATTTATCATCATCACCTACTCCATTGTTAATTATTTCTGATAAGAACAATTTAAGAAAGCCGTAAGTTAAGAACTGACAGTGATTCATTACAGAGACAAGTTTTTGTTCTGCTTGGGAGAAAGAAATTCTCCATTCATGATCTTCATAATTTCCTAGCTTATGTCCAATTGCTACAAAGTGGCATCCATTTTTTACTATATCATCAACAACATGAAGCTGGGGCCATGAGTGACATCTGTCTATCCATGAGGAGGCAGAGGGAGGCCAAAAGTCACTAACAAAACAGTGGGCATGATCATATTCCACTGTTATAAATGTTCCACTGACACAGGGTCCATGTGGAGTAAGGTTATGAGGTGACAATGACTCAGATAAAGTGATCTGTCTGTATTTAGAACTAGATATATAATATCTGTTATTCATTCTAACACACACTCTATGGATGAATCTGTTCGTTCTTGGTGACAGTAAATATAACAAAGTAAATCCTGGTGGACTATCAGAACAGTCACAGAGGATTAGTGTTAGTCTGTGTGTGTTGTTATACTGAGACTGAGATAATTCCCAGATCACACGGACATTATTTGGCCAGTACATAAAGTCTACATCTGATCCTTCCAGTCTTAATCCTTCTCCATAACTTCCACTCACCATCGTACTGTCCTCATCACTTGTTGTCACTTGATTTTTCACCATCTCCCAGATGTCCACCACATCTCTCCTCATGGCCACCAGTTGTGAGGTCCCCACTTTACGACACAGTCCCACAAACGCCGACTCTGATATGTGTTGTATGCCTTCAGTTCTGAGAATGATTAAAGTTGAATTTATATTCTTGTATAATGAATGTTTCACTTTTGAAAATTCATAATATAATTATCGTTATTGATAATTTTTACATTCAAAAATCATAAAATAAAAAATACTTCTTCAACTGTATCAATTAATTTTCAACTCAACTAAATCATTCTTTTTTTTTAAATAGTGAAATTTATAACTAAAAGTGTCTAGGATATATATTATATGTTTTAAATTTAGTGGTGTAAAAAGTTAAAACCAATTTTACTGTCAACAAATTACACTGATTCAGATGAATTAGGAATTGTTTTTAGAGTTATAAATTCTTGTCATGAAAACTTACATTTGTGAGCTTCTAATGGAGTCCATTTTCAGTGGCGTATATTCCTTTCTGTGAATGTGTAAGCTAGTGTGAAGTCACAGATTTTACCTCAAGGAGCTTCCTCTGGATAGGTATTGGGGGGTCAAGCTCAGACATCTACGATTCTAATTTGACAAATGAATACAATATTGGACATATCTCACTTATAACTCTGCATAGGAAATATGGAAATTTCGTACTGAATCAAATTCTGTCAAAATGTTAAATTTCCTACTTACCCAATATAACTCCAGTTATCAATTTCGTTTCCTGCATGTATTATGGACTCCTGTTGCTTTTACAGACTTGAGATTAATAACACTTGAACTTTGGCATTTTTATACATCATTTTACATTTTTCTTAAAATAGTTCCTGCTATGGAATTAGTTTTGTCCTTAAGCAAAAGTGTAGAATAATAGGATAGGTATCAAATTGTGGATTGCTAAGAATAATTTTTATGTCCCGTCATGAATATGACCAGGGCAGATAGTGTTTGTTATGTCCATCTTCTGTCCTTCCGTCACACTTTGCAGTTAGCTCAGCTCAAAGCTGAGATTCAAAGAAAGTATTTAAATATTTTCATCAAACTTCATATGCTGTTACATGTACATATTGATGAGAGTCACTCAGGTGACCTATTGCTATCCATTTTCGTCGGTTGACGTGCATCACAACTTGATGTTTTGGCCCCGGGATCAGGGGTTTTGATTTTAGGTTGGGGCTCTATTGATTATATAGGGAAAATGCATTAATTCTTTGAAAATCTCTGCTCCTAGGTATTAAATAAACCAATGGAGTATATAGTTATGATGAGCAAGAGAATGCCTCTACCAAAATTATAGATTTGATGGCCCTAGGGTCATCCTCAGGAGTTCTGGTGTTAGGGTGGGGCTTTTTTGCTTATATAGTGAAAATGCATTATTTCTTTGAAAATCTTCTTTTCTGCTCCTGGATATTAACTTTGTGCATAGTTATGATGAGCAAGAGTGCCTCTACCAAAATTATGAATTTTATGGTCTGAGGTTCAGGGGTTCTGGTGTTAGGGTGGGGCTCTATTGATTATATGGAGAAATGGAAATATAAGGACTCACTTTAGTTAGTAGAGTATGCCAGGGACATCAACGATATCGGAAAGATGGGATAATTTCTGAATAGCGGGCTTCGCCAATTTTGAGTTTTTATCGTGAATCAATTTCTTTTGATGATGAGTTCATGTAATAGGAATGTGTTTCAAGAGGCTGGCTAAAAATTGTTAAAACTACTGCCAATTATCAAATGGAGTATTACTAAGATTTTATCTGAAAGGATCTATACTTTTTAGCTCACCTGAGCCGAAGGCTCAAGTGAGCTTTTCTGATCAAAGTTTGTCCGTCGTCTGTCGTTGTCGTTGGCGTTGTTGGCGTTGGCGTTGTCGTTGTCGTAAACTTTTCACATTTTCATCTTCTTCTCAAGAACCACTGGGCCAATTTCAACCAAACTTGGCACAAAGTATCCTTGGGTGAAGGGGATTCAAGATTGTACAAATGAAGGGCCACGCTAAGAGTGCAACGATAAACCGTTTGTCGGTATACCGCGGTTTATTTTTCCACGGTTCGGTTCACGATACGTGAAACTGATACCACGGTTCGGTTCAATCGGTCCGTAATTATCCGAATCGTCCGTTTTGGTTCGTCATTTACAATTTCAAAATGGCTTCCCAACGAAACATGAGGTCAATGAAACTGCAGAAACGACAAATAAACTTGTTCCAGTCTCATATTCAACGGACCGAAGGATGTTATCACTTTCCTAGTGTAAGCGTAATGAGCATTTGATAAAACTTTTGAGTTTTAAGCATATGATGACAAACGTCTGACTTTTTAACCCAGTATGTCATGTATCGCGATACGTATCGAACCGTGAACTGAATACCGTGATACGTATCGTATCGTGGGGTAGGCTTTTCTGTTGCACCCCTAGGCCACGCCCTCTTCCAAGGGGAGATAATTATGATTTAGTGAAAAATTAATAGCATTTAATCAAGAACCACTGGGCCAGGAAAGATGAAACTCAGTGTAGATTCAAATTTGTTCAAATCATGACCCCCGGGGCTAGGGTGGGGCCAAAATGGCCGACCCAAGTTTTACATAGGAATATATAGGAAAAATCTTTAAAAATCTTCTTCTTAAGAACCACTGGGCCAGGAAAGATGAAACTCATGTGGAATCATCCTCAGGTAGTGTAGATTCAAGTTTGTTCAAATCATGACCCCCGGGGCTAGGGCGGGGCCAAAATGGCCGACCAAAGTTTTACATAGGAATATACAGGACAAATCTTTAAAAATCTTCTTCTTAAGAACCACTGGGCCAGGAAAGATGAAACTCATGTGGAATCATCCTCAGGTAGTGTAGATTCAAGTTTGTTCAAATCATGACCCCCGGGGCTAGGGCGGGGCCAAAATGGCCGATCAAAGTGTTTTACATAGGAATATATAGGAAAAATCTTTAAAAATCTTTTTCTTAAGAACCACTGGGCCAGGAAAGATGAAACTCATGTGGAATCATCCTCAGGTAGTGTGGATTCAAGTTTGTTCAAATCATGACCCCCGGGGCTAGGGCGGGGCCAAAATGGCCGACCAAAGTTTTACATAGGAATATATAGGAAAAATCTTTAAAAATCTTCTTCTTAAGAACCACTGGGCCAGGAAAGATGAAACTCATGTGGAATCATCCTCAGGTAGTGTGGATTCAAGTTTGTTCAAATCATGACCCCCGGGGCTAGGGTGGGGCCAAAATGGCCAACCAAAGTTTTACGTAGGAATATATAGGAAAAATCTTTTAAAAATATTCTTCTTAAGAATCATTGAGAAAGGAAATATGAAACTTAGATGAAATTATCCTCAGGTAGTGCAGATTCAAGTTTGTTCAAATCATGACCCCTGGGGCTAGGGTGGGGCCAAAATGGCCGACCAAAGTTTTAATAGGAATATATAGGAAAAACTTTAAAAATCTTCTTCTCAAGAACCTTTGGGCCAGGAAAGACGAAATTTATGTGGAATCATCCTCAGTTAGTGAAGATTCAAGCTTGTTCAAATCATGACCTCTGGGGCTAGTTTTGGGCCCAAAATGGCTGACCAAATTTGTACATAAGGATATATAGGGAAACCTTTTAAAAACTTCTTTTCATGTACTTCAAAGCCATAATTAGTGATATTTTCCTATTTATATGGAATCATCCTCAGGTAGTGTAGATTGTACATTGTTCAAATCATGACACCCAGGAGGGTTAAAATTCAAGCCCCCCCCCCCCCCGGTAAACTTTCAGTTTTGGTCTGATATGTGCTTTTTCCTAGTAGATGAGCTCAGGTGAGCGATGTGGCCCTTGGGCCTCTTGTTATACTCCTTGTGACTCTTCGACAAGGAATATAATCTTAGTTCTGATGAATGGATTTGCTTGTGGCAATTTTTTGTAAAAGCCAAAGAATGAAGTATGGAATTAGTTAACATTGAGCAGCATTATTCATATCCCGAAAATTTTCAACAATAATAAAATACAGGAGAAAGAAAAACAAAACATGCCGTATATAGTTTAAACTGGAAAGAATCAGCCTATATACATGTACAGTCATTTAAACGTCTTTCCTTTGACAAGTACATTCACAACTGAAGCCAAATTAAATACATTTTAGAAGTTTACAAAGTCATCATATTTTAGAAGACAGCTGCGAATATTTGTATCTTCTGAGCACGATATGTCTTGGGTTTACTGCCTGTCGAGAATTTCTTCTGAGTAGCTGTCTTCGTCAACTTATCTTGATCCTCCTTAAGAAGACCTTTCTCCATAAGAACTATCTTGTTTTTCTCTGAAAAAAAATAATGAAATGCTTTTTTTTTAATTTGCCAGTGAAAACTGATTTTATCTTTCCTTCCCATTTCAGGTAATCGTTTTCGTCAAGATCCTGAATTGGGATTGTCTTTACTTTTACAGCGATAGGAGGTAACTTCGGTACACTAATCTTGATTTGTAGGGGATATTCATCATTACAGTGGTATCCCCATGGGCTTTCATTGGTGTTACACAAAACATCATATCTGGGACAGTTATAATGCCAATCTTCTCTTGATCTAATTCTATGTTGACCTCTTCTATCTTTCTGTAAGTGGCTTCCTCTTCGTCAGACAGAATGCCAACTTTATTATTTTTCTCAAACACCCCAGTAATTTTGGAACAGACCCACTTTCAGGCCAGGATCAATAATGTTTTTTCTAGGAGAATAGGTCAAAACTTTCCATGAAATCGAACCCGTGATATATGTTCAACCTCTGCATCACGCGGACGACCTTTTTGTTGTGTATTGATGTTTTCTGTGTTTTCTGGTAGGAAGTGATATTAAGCTAAAGATACTTAACTGTAATAACCTTCGTTTTCCTTGCCTGATAAATGATTGTACAATTTCCTTTGTCCTCTTGCATAGTACTGCGTATGTAACTCTTGATACGTCTTAATCCAGAAAGGGATTTTTCGGCCTCACATGTTGTGACAGGTAAAACAGATTCAATTTGAAGAATTTTCACGTCCGGGAACACGTTCCCATCTACAAATTTGAAAAGATTGCGCACATTGCAAAGCATTTCAAAAGTTAACACAATTACGTCTCCAATCTCCGAGTTCTTTCTCTAAGTCCTTTACAAAAAAACAAGGTAGGTCGTTCCCCCAAATAATAGTAGTTCTGGGGCAAGTTTTGACAGCTTCTCGTGTGAAAGATTTGACATATTGACAGGCATCAAAGAGCATATCGAATATGCCACCAGATCTTCTTCCTGAAACGTGGAATATTCAATGTGGCAAAAGTCAAAAAAATGGAATGGTCACAACAGATCTATAATATTTTTTGGATTACTTATGGAATCATTTTCTTTGTGTTGCTGCTTGGAGCAAAGTCTTGGGATTTTAATCACTATATCAAGGTCATTTGCAATTTATTTTGCATCTTCAAAGCAAGACTGACGCCCGCGTGGCTCAGTGGTTTGAGCGTCTGCTCTAGAGTCGCGAATTGAGGAGTTGATCATTACGTCGCGGTTTCGAATCCCAAGTGCGGTCCTTCGGATTAGACCGTATAAACTGAGGTC